AAACCTCACTAAGCCTCCGTCTCCTTATCTTTGCCAATCGGAGATAATAATGATATTATTATTACAGAGTGCTGTGAGGATTAAGTAAAACAATGCATATGAAGTTCTCAGCAGCATGTCTGGCGTGTAGTGAGAGCCAATTGAGTGCTACTATTACTTGAACCAAGGCTGTGATTTGTAAATTGCAATGTTTCTGAGGTGTCAGTAGAGGGAGTACAGTTATTTGGAACAGAACGTTAAGACAGCTACCTTAAGAAGCTTACTAAACCCTTGGTACAAGATATTGTCCCTGTTCTGATGACACTTGAGAGACCCACACACGATGAGCCAGTAAGACCCACACCAGGCTGTCCTGTCCCAATAGTCCTTGCTGTACCACTCATGTGGCACTAGCATATGCTCCCACAGATTTCAACATATCTTTCTGTGTGTACCCCCCATTCTGTCTGTCCAGCACCCAACTCCAACTCACCCCAGCTTCCTTGGGACACTAAGCGAGGAAGCTGGAAAGGGAGAAGTAAGGTTCTACCACAAAAGTGAAAACAAAGAAATGTTTATATTCTTTGTACTAGAATTGGGAGAAGGTGGAGCTGACTTCCTTTTCTTATAGCAGCAAGAGTGTAGTCCCCTCTCTTCCTCTCTGCCTCCAGCATAAGCAGCTTTACTTGGCATAGTGGGAAAAGCACAGTCAGAAGAAATGACTCTGAATCCACTCTGTCTCCTGTTAACAGGTGTAAACATGCCTACCTGTTTATCTCCCTGTGTCATCTGTATGTACGAGGGGAGAAGGGAAAGCGGAGGGTTAACCTAGTGACCTTCAATGTTCCTCACACAACTAGATTGTTATTCTGTTACTAACAGCTGCTACTGATTAGGCATTTTCCACGATCTCATCTCTTACATCAAATCTTTGAATCTTCCCAGCAATTTCATGTGGGATATAATAGCCCCATTTTTATAGACAGGGAGTATGGGGCTCAGTGAGATCAGGTAACTTATCCGAATTTTCACTGCTAGAAATTGGCACACCAGAACTAGAATCTACTTTTTTGAAAGGCTCTAATCTGGGATTCCCCTCTTAAGATGAGGCAACAAAACATGAGGTGAAGGGCTCATAACCAGGACAGATGGGGGACATTTTATAGGGGAAAGAGGAATCTGTGGGGGCTTTGACTTGAGAAACTTCACAGGAATTTCATTTTAACATTTGTCTATTTCACTTTGGATTTTTCTTCTTTTTCTTTGTTTGGCTCTGAGGGACTAGTGAGAGCAGGGCCTGTGTTAGGGCTGAGAAACTGAGGGCCCGGCTATTGAGACTCGATGCTAAGAAAGAGAAGCAAAGTGGACATAGAGATGTCCTTTGTTAGATGTCTGGCTCAGTTCATGACATAGGAAAGGAGACAGAGGTTCAAGGCACACACTTTAACCAAGAAAGGTGTTCATTTGGGTGGAGATTCCCTCGTGCTATACACCTCTGGGTAAACTGTTTACAGCGGATAGGATGTGGCAAATAGAGCAGAGGTTCTCTAAGTGTTATCTGTAGATCCCTGGGGTAGTTCTCAAGATCTTTTCAGGGGGTCTGCAAGGTTAAAGAATTCTTGTAATAACACAAATATAGTTTTGCCTTTTTAGTCTGTTGACATCTGCACCAATGGTATCAAAGCAATGGTGAGTGAAACTGTTGGTGCATTGCCATGAAGCAAGACAGTGCCAAATTATACCAGTAGTCATTGTATTCTTCACCACCACACACTTAAAATAAAATTTTTAAAATGCCATTTGACTCAGGAAATTTCATGATGAAGCAGCTGAAATTATTAATTTTATTAAATCTCAGACCTTAAGTACATGTCTTTTAAATATTCTGTTTGACATAATGGGAAGTACTCATATTAAAGTATGATGGTCCTCCCACAGAAGAGCACTTGTGTGATTGACTGAGTTGCCAAAGTGAGACTGTCAATTCGAGGAAAACAACTGGCAATATCTTTGCCGATAATAAAATTGGAGCATTCAAGCAAAAATTAGAATTGGGAGAACTTGTGTCAATCACCATGAGCTTCACAGCTTCTCAATACTTATAATGCTTTTCTGATGCGGCCAGTGGTGATAGTACCTGATGTGAATTTTTTTTTTTCCTTTTTGTCTTTTTTTTTACTGACCGGCAACGGGATCGCAACCCTCGGTGTCACGCCCGCACCACGCTCAGCCAGTGAGCAGGAACCAGTCTCCACATGGGATCCAAACCCTCGGCGGGAGTGCCACTACGCTCCCAAGCAGCACACTTTCCAGTGCGCCACCGGGCCGGCCCGTGATGTGAATTTTTGATATTGTCTGATGAAATGTGTTAGCATTTAGAAAGTCTGCGTAATTCGGTGGACTAATATTTTCTAAATAACCACTGTGTGATATTACAAAATCATGTGTGGGTAAAAGCTCTATTCAAAATAAAAGATACATCAATGAATTTTAATGTAACAGTATACATAAAGTTTATTGGTAAAGTTTCAGATTTCACGATGCAACTAGCCCTTGAGAAACTACCACTTGTTGAGTTCTGGTCTGGTATCAAAGACTAATAACAGTATTATCTGAAAAGGCCATTATAATACTCCTCTTTTCCAGCTACATAGCTGTATGAGTCCAGATTTTCTTCAAATAGTCGAACCAAAATAATATTTTGCAATAGATTAAATGCAGAAGTATGAGAATCCAGCTATCTTCTCTCAAGCCAGACATTAAAGACTTTTCTTTAAATGTAAATTAATGCCACTCTTCTCATTAATTTTTTGTACTGGAAGATGTACTTGTTTTTCATAAAACATGTTTATTTTAACACATGATGGGCTTATTACTGTAATTTTAAGTGAATAAATATTTTAATTTTTTCTCAGGTTTAAGTTTTAATGCAGTAAATAAAAATTTCATGCAGAACAGTAATACACAAAAAATTCTTTAGGGTTGTCAACAATTTTTAGGAGTATAAAGGTGTCCTGAGACTAAAGAGTATGAGAACAGCTGGGAGAGTCCCAAAGTGAGGCCCTAAAAAAGAGGAAGAGAACAAACCCTCTGCTTTGTACAACAGGCATTCAACAGTTGAATATTATGATGACAAGGGCATGCCAGCATGACTAACACTAAGGCAGGAAATGAAAAGTGCTAAATGAGTGGTCTAAACCTGCACTGTCCAATATGGTACCACTAGCCACATGTGGCTATTCAGCACTTGAAAAGTGGCTAGTCCTAATTGAGATGCCTCGTAAGTGCTAAATACATACCAGACTTCAGAGATTTAGTGTGAAATAAGAAATACAAAGTATCTCATTAATAATTTTATACTGGTTATATACTAAAATGTTAATATTCTGTATATGTTGTATTTATAATATTAAAATTCATTTCACCTGCTCTTTTTTTCACGTGGCTATTAGAACATTTTAAATTACATTTATGGCTTGCGTTTTATTTCTCATGGACAGCCCTGGTTTAGACAGAAATTGTGAAAAGAATTCAGAGCAGGAAAAGTTGCTATAGATTTGGGTCATCAGTGAAGTCTTCATCGAGAACTATAGGATTTCAATAAGTAGACAAGTTGGGGGAGGAAATTCCAGGCCAAGGCAGCATCAACAGTACAGTATGAGAGGTCATCTAGGCAGCAGAGGAGACTGGTCTGGGTCGTTTTGTGGGCTCCTGTAGTGGGGAAAACCTTCTTGGATAGGTTGGGGCAAAACTATACAGAACTTTGAGTGCCAAGAATTTGGACTTTTTCCTATAGGCCATGACTGCTTCCCCAAAAGAAAACCAGACTTTGCCTAGTAGTGTATGGAGTAGCCTGAATTAGGCACACTTTCTTCATGGGGTGACAGAGCAGCTTCTGGAAACTGCCTAGTGGGCAAACTGCCAGGACCAGGCCTGCCTGACCAGTAAATCACAGTAATATAGAAAGAGTGACTTCGGGGTGATTAATTTATTTGGGTGTGGGGAGAAGATAGGGAAGGATGATAAATGTAAGCACAGGATCACAATGTCACCTGGGAGAGGAGGAGACTCCAGAGGGCGTACTTGTGAGATGGTGGGTCAGGCAAGTGGTGGTGCAAGCCTTTTATCTTGCTATACTTATTGCTCTAGGCATGTGTGGAATCACCATGAGTCATGCTTTCTACCTTTCAGTCCATCTGTCTTTCTTTATCTTACTGAACATTTCTAGAACTCTTACTAGGTTCCAAGGGGTTAACATCTAGCTCCAAGGAGATGAGATCAAAGACCACTGAGGGGGGAGTGGAGACAACTGAGCTCTTATCTGGGCTCAGTGAGTAACTTTGGTCACCTCTCTGGGCCTCAGTCTCTTGAGATATGAAAGAGGATTTAGAATGAGATGGGACCAAGGCTCCCTCTAGCTCTGTGATTCTAGAATAGGCCCATGTCACAAAGGGAAGAGAACACACCATGGCTACCAGGTGCAGAGCTTTTCAGAGTAAGGGCAGGCGCTGGTGGCCTACACAAGAGTTGGCCCCAGGTAACTGGATCACAGTGAGGTCAATGAGTTTGGCATTTTGATCCTTCCCACCCCTTCCATGCCAGATGCTGGCTCACCAGGGTGAGTGGAGTCTGACACTAGGAAGACAGGGAGCCAAGGAATTTAGCTCCAGGTAAGTAAATGAGCAGAGATCTTGGGTTGTCTGGGGAAACCACTGAAGAAAATGACAGTGTGTACAATGAGGGCGCCCTCCCTCCACCGCCCACCCACCGTCTTCTGCCGTCCTCGGGCCACCTGCAGGTGCAGGAGGGGCTGGGAGGGTTAAAAGAGAAGAGGGCGCTCTGCAGAGGGGCTTCAGCCTCCCCGTTTCTGCTTTTTAGCATTTCTAGAATAGAGAGTGGGTGGGAAACGACCCAAGTAAAGTCCCAGAGACTCAAACACTGACGCACAGGAAAGCCTCAAGTGGGAGGAGAAATGCAAATCCCCTACTGACGGTGTCGTCATCGGCTCCGTCCTGGGGTCTGTGAAGGGCGATTCTGACTTGGGACTTGAGCACTCCCTGAGACCTGGGCTGAGAGGAGCCAGGTGAGTAGGGCAGACCACACCTCTCCCGAGGGGGAAATGCTTATTTCCGCAGACGGCTGTGTTTTAACCTAAGCAGGGGCGATTCTAACAAGTGGCCGACTGCAGGACTCGCAGGTGCGCTCCGGCGCAGGTCCCTCGGAGGAGCCTGTGCCCCGAGGGCCCGGGAACCCCGGCGCCCCCGGGAGTGCCGGGGCGGTGGCGGGAGAGCGTGGCTGCGCGGAGGCGTGTCCTCTCGCCGCGCTGGCAGTGAGCCCCTCGTCACTTTCTCGGGCGGCTTCCCCGGAGCTGTGATGGCTGGCGTGAGACTGGCCTGCCTGGGTTTCGGAAAGCAGCCCGCAGCTCGGGTCGCCAGTGCTTGTGGCTTTGATGAGTGCGAGTGATATTGGAGGGCAGGTCGTTTCCTTTGCAAGCTACGGGTCTCAGAGCCAATGTGGCGCCACTAAATATCCGTTTAGAGAATCTTCTAGGGCCAGGCATGCAAAGGGCACAGCCAGGCATTCAGTTTTCAGAAGGGATGTTCACAGTTTTCTTGGGATAGGAGAATTAGCCCTTAGAGAGTAAAAGCATAGAAACGTACTGAAGGATGTCTGAAGGCGTTTCCAGAGGCTGTAATAGGGAAGAATGTCCTGGGACTGTATACGGTTTCTTCTTCCCCTTTTCAGCCTTGAGTTCAGCTCTCTGGAAGGAAAGCTCAGGTCTTAGAAGTGATCTAACTTTAACACAGATTAATTCTTAGAAAACAGATTTGCATGCAAATCATAGCAAGGGGTTAACAATAGCGGTAATTAAAATTGTAATGCTTTTTTCAGCTCGTGTTCTCTGTTGTCATTAACTAGAATAAACTGATCGAGATATAGCAGGACAATGTTTATAGTAGCTTGAGGACAAATGTTCTAGTTTTGTGTGGAATATATACACATCCAGCGTCTGGAAAGACAACAGGGTTTGGATGAGGAGACCTCAGGTCTGTCCTTAGGAACTGTGCATCTACGGCAGGAGTCATTTCACCATTTGGTCTTCAGGTTTTTTTCATTTTTAAGGTTGGAGTAAAGCTTACTATCCACCTACCCTTTTCATAACAATATCAAGAGTGCTACTCACTCTTCATTTAACAAGCATTTATTGGGCACTTACAATATGCCTAGAATGGCAATGTGTAAAGGTCTTCATAAATGTAAAGTACTATGCAAATTAAACATTATTTTTCCCCCACTTGCTTTCTCTTTAGCAAAACGTTGGCAAAAATTGTCTTTCTATACATTTTAGATATTTACTGGGAGCTCAGGGAAAAGATGCTCAAAAATGGTTCTATTTGAAATCTGAAGAATATGTATTTGAAATTCATTATTATGATGTTCTACAGGCAAAAGGAAACAAACCTACCTACAAGATAAGTTGAAATACTAAGGTGAATAATCATGTAAAAGGGTTTTTTTTTTTTTCCCTTTGACCTATAATTGCTGACAAAACAATAAAAATTTTGACTTTGGTATAAGTAAAATACTATGATTTCAAGGACACAACATCATATGAATTTTCCTGAGTTAGGAAATATGTCTAAAGCTTCTAAATTGGCCAGAGTGAGGTCATGTGGAGGAAAAACATACTTTTGTTTTATGACAGGCTGCCAAATATGTATCAAGTGTGGTTTCTTCCTCCTTAAGTAACTTGAGGGTTTAACCACTGTCAGATGCACATCAGAGACAAATTAAAGGTACACTTTAAAAGCTTTGCCAAGCCATAGTGGATCATCACAGGGGGAAATAAAAATATGTATCAGTTCATAAATATTTTGAACTGAAAGAACTAGAACCCGTAAAAATTCATACATGAAATTTTTCAGGAAGCTAAAACAGAGTTAGACTAGAAGTCAGGAACATAAAGCTGATTCTAGAAGCCAGACAAATCTGAAATAAAGAAAAAGGACTGGGCAATTTCATATAAAAGAAGCTTTTATTGGGTATTCCTCACATGTGAAGCCTAAAGAGGATCTTAAGAGGTACAGTACAGCAAATGTTAAGAGTGTTATTTGCCTTCAGGTTGCTCCAAGTCTGATAGTGTCGAGGGAGCAAGGGAGAGAGACGGAGCTTGTTGAGAAAACAAATTCCTATCGACAGTCAGGGGCAGGGGGCGCTTTAGGGACGGGGAGCAAAAGCTTCCCACAGAAGGCGGAACAGGAGTTTATGTTAGAGCAAGGAAGGATGTTGTTTGGGGGCAGAAGAAAAAAGCTATTCCCTTCATTAGGGACAACTTAGGAAAAACTTGGAGGAATTGCTGTATTTTTGGATTGAAAGCATTTTCTCTTTTCTGTCTTCTTTAACTGGGTGACTATTAAAAAAAAAAAAAGAGGATTTTTTTCCAGTTACTTAATGGACACCATTGTTTGAATTCTAAGAAACAAAGAAAACAGGTACCACAACTATCAGTCAACAATATTTTAAAACTCTAATTTTACCCATTCTTTTATAGCATGTCTCAGTGGAATCAAGTCCAGCAATTAGAAATCAAGTTTTTGGAGCAAGTAGATCAATTCTATGATGACAACTTTCCTATGGAAATTAGACATCTGCTGGCCCAGTGGATTGAGAATCAAGACTGGTAAGATCAAACATATTTTCCCTAGAAGTTGGTGCACAAATGCTTCATGCTCTGTCTATGTGGATTTTTTCTGTGGTTCACTTTTGACTCAGTAGATGCATTTTTTTCAGGTGCAGAACTTCTTCAGGGGTTTAGAAAGCCTTCTCAAAAAGGGGGAATTATTGTCCTTTCTGGTTTCATTCATTGTAGATGAAAACTTAATGGTTCTAGTGCTTTCTTGTTCTGTAAGCCAAAACCCCAACAATTTTGTATGTATTAAAAAGCCAAGAAGTATATCTTCTGATTATATCAATTCTCTATCACAGACTCAATGTAAAAAAATATTTTTTCTACTATAATTCACATTCTTCAAAGTTCTATTCACCTTGTACCATTTAATTTTTTTTTTTTTTGCTTCAGTCACCTAACTTATCATGGTAAGATATATATATCATGAAATTAACCATTTTAACCATTTTTTAGGTGTACAGTTTAGTGGCATAAATTTACATTGTTACACGATCACTACCACCACCCATCTGCAGAACTTTTTCATCTTCCCAAGCAGTTGGCCTTCCACATTCATGGGTTTCATATCTACAGATTCAACCAACTGCATATGAAAAATATTCAAAAAAATTTTTTAATATATGACTATAAAAAATAGTACAAATAAACACAATAGCGTAAAACAGCTATTTATATAGCATTTACATTGTATTAGGTATTATAGGTAATCTAGAGGTGTTTCAAAGTATATAGGAGTATGTGTGTAGGTTATATGCAAGTACAGTACTATACCATTTTATATTAGGGACTTGAGCATCTAAGGAGTTTGTAATCTGAGGGAAGTCTTAGAACTAAGTCCCCCATGGATACCAAGGAATGACTGTACTTGTTACACAATATCTCCCCCTTCCTCCAACCCTAGCCTGTGACAACCACCATTCTGTTTTCTGTCTCTATGAATTTGACTACTGTAGGTACACTATGTAAGTAAAATACACAATATTTACCCTTATGTGTCTGACTTTTTTCACTCAGCAATAATGTCTCAAGGTTCATCCATGTTATAGCATGTGTCATAATTTCCTTACTTGTTAAGGGTGAACAATGTTCCATTGTACATGTGTGTGGGGGGCATATATATATATAATCACATTTTGCTTACCTGTTCATTGATGGACACTTGGGTTACTTCGCCCCTTTGACTATTATGAATAAAGCTGCTATGAACATGGGTGTACAAATATCTGTTCAAGTCCCTGCTTTCACTTCTTTTGGACATATACCCAGAAGGGGAATTGCTGCATCGTATGGTAACTTTATGTTTAATATTTTGATTAGCTGCCATACAGTTTCCACAGCGGCCGTACCATTTTACATTCCCACTAGCAATGCACAAAGGTTCCAATTTCTCCATATCCTTGCCAACACTTATTTTCTGTTGTGCTTTTTTTGTTTGTTTTGTTTTTATAATAGCAATCCTAATGTGTGCGAAGTGGCATCTTATTGAGGTTTTGATTTGCAATTTCCTAATGAGTAGTGATGTTGAGCATCTTTTTATGTGTACAATTTAATTTTAAAAAACCTTTAAAAACATCACTGTGGAATAGATTTATCGCTTTACAATTAGTATGGTAAAAATGTAGACATTTTACTAAGTTGTTTCCTGTTGTGTAATAACACTTTTGGTTTTTAGGGAGGCGGCCTCTAACAATGAAACCATGGCAACAATTCTTCTTCAAAATTTGTTAATACAACTGGATGAACAGTTAGGTCGTGTTTCCAAAGAGAAAAATCTGCTTTTGATACACAATCTAAAAAGAATTAGGAAAGTCCTCCAGGTGAGAATGCATTCTACTTTTTCAAAGTATTTTGACTTATGAGGCTTAAATTCAGTAAGAAAAAAAATTAAATATGTACCTTTATATTATTTTCAAACCAGATTTAAGGGAAAAAAATCTGATTCTCTCACCATTTAAAAAGTTTTTGCTCGATTTTATTTTATCACCCAATGTTTGTTTTTCATAACATTTTGAATCTAAAATACACTTTAAGTGGCAGGGAGTGTGAATATGTGATTTGCATATGGCTTGTTTACTAGCCATGGTCAAATTTGACAACACTGGAACAGAGATTTAGAAGACAATCGTTTCATGGCTGTCACCCGGCCCTCCCTTGCCTTTGTTTCTTATGTACCGTTTTCATTCATAAGTGGTTGTACAAATCTTTCCAGATTGGGTTCAAATCTCACCTCCTTTAAAAGCGCTCCTTAGCACTCTCTAGTCCCCTATTCCAAAGGTTCACTCAGGTAAAACCCATCCATTTGTGTTCCCGCAGTACCTGGAACACACCTGTACCGTGGCATTTAGTACACTGTTCAATACTGTCATTTACCTTCCCCCCCAAACTGTGGGTTCCTCGAGGCAATAGCGTTCATATTTATTCAGTTTTTGAATTCCCTGGCCTATCACAAGGCTGGACACACGGGAGACGTGTAATGTTTATTGATTAAAGGTACAAATGAATGAAGTGAGTGAATCAGATCTAAAGAATTAAAGGCAGGCGAATATGGTACTAAACTCAGAGGTGCTAATGTAACAAACTCTGACCATGGACTGCTGTGATGTTTACTGAGTTACAGTGTATTAGATAACAGGAACAGTACACTGTGCCAATTTCCCAGTGATGTATTCTTAGAATCCCAAACTTCCAAATGAGTGTAGAACATTTTATCTAGACTATAATAGAAATGTACTTGACGTTACTAACATGTGTGAGAGGGACATACTCATATATATTAATTATTTTTCCTATTGTTGTTTGGATTGGGCTGAACCATTTTCGCTCTGTGATCTCACACAAACCTGCAACATACTTGGCCGGGGGTAGGAAAACTGCATGTTGCAACAAAACAGAATTTTTCACAGCATACAGCAAACGATCTCCTATGGAGATAAAACATTTAACCTTAGCCTTATTAGTTTAGTGCTCTAATCAATAAAACTAAAACAGGTTGGCCTACTGTGACCCACAAGTCAAATGGCTACTGCCCACTTTTGTATGGCCTGTGACTAAGGATGATTTCTACATTTTTAAATGGTTGAAAAAGAATAAAAATAAAATAAATCATAAAATAAAATTTAAAAATCATATTTGTGACACATGAAAATGATATGAAATTCAGATTTCTGTGTTTTGTTGGAACATAGTCATGCTCATTGGTTTATGTATTGTCTATGGCTACTTTTGCACTACAATAACAGATTTAAGAAGTTGTTACTGAGAACGTATGGCCTGGAAAGCCTAAAATAAAAATGTGTGTGTGTATATTATATATGTGTGTGCGTGTATATATAATACTTTATATATACCATATTTTAATATTTATATAATATTATATATAATATATTATCTATATGATATTTACCTGGCCCTTTATAGGAAACTTTGCTGATCCCTAGCCTATAAGCAAAGATCTATAGGTCACTTTGCTAGAAAAGCACAGATGGGTAAAATGGATGATCCATGGTCTTCGGAACCAAGAAGACCTGGGTTAAAATTCTGACCCTCAGAATCTAGCTTTGGGCAAATCACTTAATCTTTCTGAGCTGCCATATCTTTAAATGTCAATGAGGATGATTATTATCTACTTTTTGGGATTGTGAGGAAAACTGGAGCAAAAAAATAGGCTTTCAATAAATGCTTCTTGTTGATAGGGAAAACAGCAGCGTCTTCCTTAGTGTAGATCAAGGGTAAGTGTACAGCCGACCTTTTTCTTCTGGGTGGAGTGATGATTGCGAGGGGATCCTCTCTTTCCAGTCCCATCAGATGGGTCTTATTAAACCATCACTCCTATCTCATTACTGCACTGCTCAAGAACCTGCAGTAACTCCCTGTCACAGTTCAGCTCAAGCACAAACTCTTCTGCTTATGTCATTGGCTCTCCAGCATCTTGCCTCTTTAGACCTTTCCCAGCACACTTCCCTGAGCTCCTCAACATCACTGCCTCAGAAAAAATAGATCTACTCCTTGTTCCCAAACCCACCAAGCTCTCTTTCAAATGACGCTGAGCCTCGTCCTTGATGGTCCCATGGCCAGGAATGCTTTTCCATCCCTCTTCCTCCAATCCAGTCCCATCCATCCCTTCAGAACCTGTGTAGGTCAGTGCTGCAGGGAAAACTCCACCACATCCCTTGTTCTCATCCTCTGCAGTCTACTGGTGGCAAGGTAACCAGCATCGCTTTGTGTCCCTTTCATCTGCGTGGGGTGTGCCTAACCAGGTCCCAAGATCTTTGAAGGTAAAAGACTGACCTCCTTTTATGACCTCCCCGTTCCCTCCACTACCCAGTATGGTTCTACTACAAACTAGGAATTCAGACCAATTTGGTTAATTAAGGTGTTTGAGTTGAAAAAATACTTGTTCTTTCTTGTGCTTCTGCATATTTCAATGTATAAGCTGTGTTTATTGGGTATTTTTATTAATTAAGAACACAGTAGAAAATAGTAATAAAGAAATTGTCAGTTATAGTTTTATACCTAAACAAACCTTTTAAACCTATCAGATTCCCACTAATTTTCTTTTTGACGTAAGTCTTTTTGATAAAACAGGATCCCCCCTCCTCAGCAAAAAAGAAAAAAAGAAACACCTTCTATCAAAGACTATTGACACTGCATTTATCTAGTGTGAATATATTCATCCTCTGGGATTTTAAATACAAACCACTTTAACGATTACCAAAAAGGATCGAACAGCATGGTACCTGGAAAACTGAGGAGGTATAAGGTAAATGGTTATCTATAGAGCAGCTGAGGTCTCCAGTTTCAATATTTTTAACTTACTATTTATATCACGCCTCCTTCCAATAAGAATTGGGCATGGCTTGTTATAAAAGGCATGTAAAACAAAACCACTGCCCTGAGGGTATAGACAAGGAGCTCCAAAGCAGGAAGCAGTGAACACCAGCTAAGATTGACCCTCTATGGGGAGTCCAGGATCAAGGGTGGCCTTGGGTTGCACCCTGCCACTGCCACTTACTTGCTATGAGGCCCTGGGCAAGATATTTACACTCTCTGGCCTCTGGTGCCTACCCCACGGGGATGTTAAGAGCATTGAAAGAATCCTTTGTAAAGCAGGTAGTAAGGACTATGTTAGGGTTTGCTAAAAAAAAAAAAAAAAAAAAAATCTGCTCCAGATTTTACCCTGTTCTTGGACTTTTTTTTTTTCTTCTAATTAATAGACTTTATTTTTTTAGAGCAGTTTTAGGTTTATAGAAAAATTGAGGAGAAAGTACAGAAAGTTTCCATATACTGCCTCTCCACCCCTCTCCCCAGTTTTCCCTGTTATTAAAATCTTGCATTGGTGTAGTATACATTTGTTACAATTGATGAACTAAGATTGAAACATTATTAGTAACTTAAAGTCCAAGATTACATTACAGCTCACTCTTTGTGTTGTATAATTCTATGAGTCTGATAAATGAATAATGTCATGTATCTGCCATTACAATATCATACTGAAGAGTTTCATTGCCCTTAAAATCTCCCGTCCTCTAACAGTTCATTCCTCCCTCCCTTCCCACTGAACCTCTAGAAACTACTGATTTTTTTACTTTCTATAGCTTTGCCTTTTCCAGAACGTCATGCAGTTGGAATCATACAGGATGTAGCCTTTTTAGATTGGTTTCTTTCACGTAGCAATATACATTTAAGGTTTCTCTATGTCTCTTTGTGGCTTGATAGCTCATTTCTTTTTGTGACTGAGTGACATTCCCTTGTGTGGGTGTGCCACAGTTTGTTTATTTTTGGCAATTACAAATAAAGCCGCTATTAGCATTCATGTGCAGGTTTTTGTATGGGCATAAGTTTTCAGCTCATTTGGGTAAATATCTAAGAGCGCGTTTGCCGAGTTGTTGTTCTTGGACTTTCTTTTGCAAACCTCTTTTCCTTATTCACCTTCCTCTCTGTCTTTTTCCCTCAGATGGAATGACTTTAAAAAAAATTAAAATGATGCATACTCTTAAAAAAAAAATTGAAGCAATATAAAAAATGCAAAAAGGAAACTGTGAAATCATTCAAAATCTACTGCCTAGAAATAAACATATTAATATTTGATGAGCATCATTCCCGACATCTCTCTATACATGTGATACCGGAGAAGAGGGTCTAGGGAGGCCCAACAGTCACCCTCAATCCACCCTGTCCTCTTCCCAGGTTCTTGACTCCACCGCAGGGAAGAATTGAAGAGCAGAGTCACAGCAGAAAGTGAGAACAGGCAGGTATAATGTAATGAACAAGAGATACAGATTTCACAGAGAGAGTGCAGCCTAGCTCCAGAGACTGAGCAGGGCCCCCACCAAGTTTAATACAAAAGTAAGAAACACACATTCACAGACAAAGTGCAGGCTCGCTCTAGAGTGAACAGCAGCCTGCCAAAGGCAAGTCTGATACAAAAAGAAAAAAGTACACACCTCAGGTGAAGTGCAGGCAGAGTACCACTCTCCTCCACGGTTCAATTTTATACTTCCACCATCTAATACATATTTATGATATCTAATGTATATTCAGCTAAGGAGGTGGTTCCCAGTTATGTAACCTAGTCTTGCACATGCTCACTTGGTCTCTTTTAGAGCATGCTCATTGGTTAAATTCCATTACGTGAATAAAATGGATTTGAATGAGCATCTAGCACCTCCAGTGGGAGGTCATTCAAGGGATAAACTCTCTTTTACTGAACATGTTCAGCCAGTGAGATACCCTCTGTGGTCTCAATCTGCACGTGTTGTTACCAGAAATAGGTGCTACAGGCACCATAGCTCAGGACTCAGAGGTGGGGGGATTGAGC